CATTATGTTGTGATAAGATTTTGTAGTTGACAATTTTGATGAATTAAATTGATAATTTCGTTTGTTGATTGTGTAGACGTCTTATTCTTCGAGAATCATTTTATTATTAATCATTCCTTCTCAAGATGAAAGTTAATGCGCAATTTTTAATTACTTAATTTGGATTCAACAACCCTATTGACATTGTTAATATTGTCCTATAATATTGCTATACTTGTCCTATTGTTTCATTGTGCCCGAAAAAAAGTTACTGATTGAATGCCAATTGCATAATTTTCTTTGTAACTTGTATTATGTAATAGTTCTTTAACTTTTAGGTCATCTTTATTTAGTATTTGTAACCTTGCCACAGCTCATTATCAATTAACCCTTTATTTAACAAATTATTAAAAAAATATTGAAATATTATCAAAAACGGGCGAAGTTTTTTTGCCCCATTAAATTATGTCTAATTTGCGATTTGTCAAATAATTTTTTTAATATTCGACATTATTTTCTTAATTTTTCATAAAATTTTTAATTTGAAACTTACACCACATTATAAAATTTTAATTAAAGCTAAAAACTTATTACTTTGTTTCATAACTAGTTGCAAATGTTAATGAATCAATAAAAAATATAAAAGATTTAATAGCGAAACTGATTGAGATAGAAACCGAGAATTGAGAAGTGAAATTAAAGAATTATAAAATGGTATTCTCGAACCAAATATCAACAACTAAATAGTTTTACAGGTCATGCTCAAATTTAAATAATCGTTTGTTTGTGAACTAGTAACGTTAAACGTCATATTAAACGGACAGACAACTTCCGATAGGATATTTTGTTCCATTTCAGTGCTACATGGAAATAATATTAGTGGGACTTTTAAAAGTCCCGTCGGTACCTAAAGGGTTAAACTCTATATGATAATTAAAGTTGTAAATAATATAAATCTTGATTTTATCATTCACTTTGTTAAGTTCAGATTGGTTTTGTCATGTTTTCTGTCAAATTTGAGGCCTTCCTAATAAGCGAAAATCTATTCAGAAACAATGTTATATGGAATTAATATTAGTGGGATGCTATATGGAAATAATAGAAGAATACTATATATTTCAATGCTATATGGAAATAATATTAGTGGGACTTAAAAGTCCCGTCGGAACTTAAAGGGCTAAACGTGATATTAAAGTTGTAAATAATATAAGTCTTGATTTTATCATTCATTTTGTGAAGTTCAGATTGGTTGTGTCATGTTTTCTGCCAAATTTGAGGCTTTCCTTATAAGAGGAAATCTATTCAGAAGCTTAAATGTTTTCCTACCTTGTAGCATTTTAAATTATAATTTTAATTGATTATTTTCATGAAATGTTTTTTTTTCAAAAGAAAAATCTCTGTATAACAGTTTTGTTTTTTATCAGTTTCATTTTTTTAAAGGAAAAAAAAAATAATTCTACTTTTTTGTTTGAAAATAAATTTTAAAACAAACATAAAAGAGTAGTTTTTATCTGTGGACTGAAATTTATAAAGTTTTCTTTTATTAATCAACCTAATTATAACAGTAAAATTATGCATTTGAATTGGAGTCGTACTAACCTTTTTACTCCAGCTATGCTATAAAAAGTGCAATTTAGAAAGATGCGTTTATTGCTCTTTATAACAAAACAAAATTATTGCTTTCCGCAAGTAAAAATTTCAATATTCCTTCGAGTTTTTCAAGATAAACACAAAATTTTATATGTTTCTTTATACTAATCAGGTGCTGAAACCTAGATATTTGCTTTTTATCCCTTTTTTATTTTCAACTGGCATCAAATAAAAATTAACGCAGAAATGTTAATATATTATTTTAATCAAGCTAATAAAACGTGATATCCAAATCCTCTTCCATTAATTTCAAAAATAATTCGGTAGATATTTAGATTTTTATACTGTTAACGGTATATATTGCGTTTATTCTAATTAACATAGGCTGATTTTGCAGGAAAGGCAGCTCATTATGTAGTGCTTTTGAAGGCGAATGATGCAACGTGTCGAAATTAATTATAATAACTAAGTTACCTTGCCGTTCCCATAATCCTATTCCTGAATATTATTACGTTACAGACCATATACCTTTACACCAATAATCTGATTTGATGATAACAGTCACATTCTAAATCTTCAAGTAATTGCACACAAACACTGTTACAAGGTGATAGAAACTAAATTAACAGTCTCGAGAAGGGCTAAAAAAGTATGAACTTTATAGCTAATATTAGATTGTCATTTTCAGCTTTAACTCTTTAATTGAAACTGATTTCAACGTGGTGTAATACTTCTTACTAAATTTTAGGTAATATAGTAAAACATTTTTTTATAATAAATAAACTAAATTCTTGCAACGAACCCGTATTTACCTGTAACAACTATATACATATATTTATAATAAAGCATTTGTGCACTTTTTAACCTAACCAAACAAACCTGAAATACCAAAATATTATTCATATGAATATCAAAATCAAAATTATTCATACTTTCTAATTATATTTACTTTACGTTATTTTGTATCTTTTTTTAAAATCTTTTATTTATGTAAGCAATATGTTCTGTTAGTTTTGTTGTAACCATTATTTTATCACCCTTTATAGATTTATTTCGATCTAACAATCATTTTTTTAAATTTATTTCTTCCAGCTAAAATTATTTTTTAAAACGGAAAAAAGAAAGTAGAACTGGAAAAAGAAATTGTTTTATGAGAAGTATCCTTAAAAAAACAAAATAATAAATAAAATGATGTAATATTTTGATGCAGTATACATCTTTGAAGCTATCTTGCATTCCTGCCAAGGAGTAATTCTACTTATTTCTATTTTTTGGGAAATGGAGGAAAAATAGCTGGGAGAAAACATACCATCAAGAATGATTTATTGAAAGTGTTAACCATTAGTTATATGCGTTTTTTCAGTGGCTTGGTGTCTGCTCCAGCTTTATAAGAAATTTGATCAAAACGCAAGGGCTGGCGACAGTTATGAATTGACATTTTATGGAAATAGGTTTATCAAATGCAGTTTGAAAAGAGAACCGTAGATAACAGTCAAATAGATTTCTGAATTCAAAACTTTAATCCTTGCAATGTCAATACAGTTTAGCCATTGAGATTCGAAACTATCGTTATATCTATTTAGGGATAGACTAAATAATAGAGAGAGATTTATAAACTACATATTATTGTGGTTTTGTTTTTAAACTATTTAGAATATTTATGAACTACTCAAAAATTATTCGTCGTTTTTTATTTGTTCTTTACAGTAAAAGCAGAAATATAGTGAGATTGTTACAGGGAGAAACAAAAAACACAAATCACTTAATATAACTAACTCGAATATCTAAAGCAAAACATCATAATATCTGAATAATTCGATTTGGATCATACAGCATCGAATCACAATACAATGCAGCCTCGTACATAATATTCATAAAATTTCAATAAAGCAAAACAATGACGTGATACTATTGGTTTTGCATCATATAACATAGAAACAAATATACCCAGCAATATGAAGAATATTCATAAAATTTCAATTACGCCAAGCAATAACGGAATATTATTAGTTTTGCGTAATACAACATCGACTTATTATACACAGCAATATATATAATCTTTTTATAAGATTTAAATAATTCGAATAAATGACGCAATGTTATTAGTTTACATCATATCGCGATGTAAATAATTTGCATAACATATCAATTATCTAAATTAATAACGTGACGCTATTTTTTGGTATTATCTAACATCGTGTCAATATATGCAGCAATGATTGATTTACAAAGTGTACCAAATTAAAAAGTTTTAAATTAAATAATTGGGTTAAAAATTTATTAATTGTTAAACAAATAGCAAAAAATATGAGTCGTCGTACAATTCATAAAACTAAAAATGTCTACTTCTTTGCAAACTATTATTAAAAATTATGATGGTATTTTTAAATATAACTAAGTTTCTGAAACATGGCTTAATGCGGTCTCTTAAAAAGTACTTTAACATTTATTGTTTTTGAAATGTAAATGGAATTTAAAGGAAAGTAAATTTCTACAGTTTATTAATTTACTACAACTATTACAATAAATATACTTTGTGATTATTTTGTTGTAAATTATATGTAAGTGAAAATTTAATGTTATGTGATGATCTAAGTGCTATTCTTTGTAGCTGAATATATTTAATACAGTTTGACCTGCTGTACGATTTTTGTGCAAATACTACATATTTCACTTTTTACCTCATAATTAGGTCTAAATTCTAAAAATTTTAAAACAACTTTGGTTGTTATTATGACTGCATTACATATTTTTTCTTGCTTTTTTTAAAAAAAATTATGGCATTTGTTAATAATTCTGCAGGTTCCATTTTTCGACTTTTTTGCAAAACTTCAAATTTTTTTTGAAACTGCAGATTTTACTGATATTTTATTTTTACCAATCTAATAAACCTGAACGATTCTGATTTTTTTTTAAATTCTCATATTATAAAAAAGTATTTTTCTAAAAACCTTTAAGCCAAGTAATGAAACGTGTATACTTAGTGGTAATATCAAGTTTGTATGCATTGTCAATTTAAAAAAAAATGCTTTTTAAATTAAAATTTTTTTTTAATTTTTTAAACTGCATCAAAATTTTCACATTTCATTTCACGCTATAGAAAACCTAACAAAGTGACCCCTTTGAATTAATATCATTTGTTCCAATCAATTAAAGGGATTATTTTATTAATTTTATTATTTTATCAAAAAAGGGGATTGTTTTATTATAAATAAGGCACATTTAGCAAACTTAAGCAAGATAAATCTACGAGTTTTAATTTTAAAATTTCATAAAATACCAAAATCACAACAATACAAAAATACCTTATCCATAAATACCAAAAGACTTCTTAATTATCTTTTAATCAGAAGCCTAAGTCCATGTCAATAGTCTAGCTATATTTTCTATTGTTCTCATAGACTTAATATTAGAGGAACAAAAAATCATACCAATTTTCTCCCTTAAACGAGCCATCAGCATTTACAAACACTTCGGCTACAACACAATAGGCATGCAATACCAGAAAACTTTAATCTATGTCAATAGTCTAGCAAAATTTCTCATTTTTTATAGACATAACATCAGAGGAAAAAGAAATAATACCCTATTTTCTCCCTTAAACAAGATATCAAAATTTACGAACACTTCAGTTTCAACACATAAAGTTCAGTATCAACAAATAAAGAATAAAGAAAATTCAAGGACGTTCTTTTTATCTCTTTAGCCGATAAAAAATCGAACCAAAACTTAAAGTTAAATAATCCAGCGTTCGGTGTGACATTCAATAAAATTCAACAGAATAAAGGGGCTCAATTTAAAAACGAGATGCATGCTTTTCGAACCTTTTTTTGCTCTGGGCACTAACCCAACTATCTTGAAACGTTCGTAAAATAAAAGAAAGAGTAGCAAAGACTATTGAAATTTATGTGCGAAGCGTAAAGTAGAGAACTGGTTCCAAAAAGTTATCGATCTATTCGTTAAAAGTCATATAAGTAAGAGAAGATAAAATGAAAGTTTCCAAATGGAAGCCAAGTAGGACAGTCAGACGGCATCCTTTTATATGCGGCTGCATTGGCGTTTTGACAAGACGCGGTGACCTCCTAAAAACCTCTTTTTCGAAAAATTAAATGGCACTAAATACTGGTGCAATAAAAATCCGTAGTTCTTTAACGATTCAACAAGGAGCAAAACGTGTTTTTCATTTCTTATCAATTTTTGAGAGAGAGGAAGAGGAAAGTTAGGTACTGGAGAAAAGAATTTCAGCAGTTAAAGATGTCTCAAGGATTTAAAAGACACCAAAGCGTCAAAAGAAAAAGAAATCGATTAATCTACAAGTTGTTAAGTACCCTACACTTAGTAAGTGGTAAAATGTTGCAGGACCTCGGTGATGCAGACATTGACGCGTGTCTGATTTTGGCGGAAGAGATGAAACTTAACTATTGCTATGCAGACAAATGAAATATTGTTTCAATTTTTTTCTCACAAATTGAATAAGATCAAATCCCAGCTGATATATCTAGAAATTTTGAAATTATTAGAGTTTTGTGAATAAAACCTTCAACTTTTGACTTCTATCACTTTACGCTTCTGACACTGCTACACTGTAAAAAGTTCCGAATTAAATTACTGTGAAAAGTAACCAAACTCAGAGTGCCGGTACTTTTTACTGTAAAATCAATATTTACTGGAACATATGTTACGGAATGCAAATATGAAATACCGTAAATTTATAAGTAATAATTACCGTAAAATCACTGAATCACTCTAATTAAATAAATATTACTGTAAAAAGTACGGTATAATATTTTACTGAAAAAATGGATTTATGGACGATAATAAGGATGATGCACCTAAAATTCCCGGACTTTATACCATAATTTGATCAGGAATTTTTTTACAGTGTACATAGAAAAGTTAAATAAAGTGTGTAATAAAAAAAGCTAAATTGTGATTGAAAATAAGTCAATGGGAAAATAATAACGTTATAAGTTTTTTTTGTTTATCAAAAGCACTTTTTTTGACTTATGCATTTTTTTTAAAATCTGACATTGCTATCTAGAAAACTGAGGTACTGATTTATATTTACTTTTTTAACACATAATCGAAAGAGACTAAAATTAATATTTCAGAAATTATAAGATCTTTATGCAATATTTAGCTTCAATCACATTTACACCCCTCTTCTCGCCTCGAATGAAGCCTTGTAACTTTTAACCACTTATTAAGAAAAGGGTACTTAACAGTTTGTAGCTGTGTTAAACTTCTTTTAAGGAATGCTTGGTTTAAATCTTTAATTTCAATGAAATGTATGTTTAGTAAGCAATAAACGTTTTACGAAATGAATTTCGGAAATGAGATTTGAGCTTTAAAATTTAATTACGTATGTTGAGTTGAGTCAGGACAAAGACAGTTTAAAAACTCCTATTTTAAATTAAAAAAGTTTCTTTCAAGAAGTGCTTGGTTTGAATCTTAATTTCAATGGAGTGTATGTTTAGTAAGCTAAAATTGGGAATGAGGATAATTTCGGAAATGAGGAGATTTGTGTCTGATATTTCAGGCACGTTTGTTAGGTTGAGTGCGAGAAAGAGAGCTAAAAAAAAACACCCATTAAAAATTGTAATTTTTTTTTAATTCTTTTTCTTTTAACACTCAATATAAATTAAAAAACTTATTTTGAGATAAGCAAACTTAAGTTTTAGTTCCTTTTCAAAATAAGTCGAAAGATCTCTGATTTTTGTAAATTTAAAAATACGACTCTTTGTTAAGTTCCAGTATTTAGAAACGATACAGCTAATTTTGATCAAGTTTTGTATTTGGTGATTAAACTGTACATAAGTTTAAAATCATAAAAAAATTTCTGTAAAAAAATTTAGGAAATTTTGATTACTCTTGCATTAAAAAATAAATATAAATAAGTGTATTTCTTTTTACAAGAACTAACTTTTTACCAAACAAGTATTTTAAATATGACAAAAAAAATTTCAAATTCAATTAAATTAATTCAATAAAATAGTAGCAGAGACTAGTTTGAATTAGAAAATACTGTGGCTTTTCTTACTGAGCTATAGGGATTGCAATATCCGACTTATTTCAAGGATCAGAGATCCAAGTCCATCGATTTCAGTTTAAGTACGCTTAGCCTATGTCCTATTTCGTAATTTGAATATGGTCTGCTCACTGAGAAAAAAGTATGGTCATAACTACTTGAATAAGGTAATATTTACGGTGTATCTGGCTCTGTGGGAACACCAAAAGCCTCGGTAATTTTTACCGAAGTTCTTTGGTAAAATTAACAATAAAATATTGTTTTATAATATGTGATAAAATTTAGTAAACGTGGCAAAATTTGGTAATTTTATCATGAATCCTTAGAGTAATAACAATTTTTTCGGTTAAATTTACTTTTCAGATTTTTTTTTTCTGTTTCAATACGAATTATTTTTTCGAAAAACCGAATTTCCGGTAACCCGTTACCAAATGAACAGAAGAATTATCAAATGAATAGTTAAAATACCGTTTACTTTGGTTTTATTAACCAGAATTATGTTATTTTCTTTACCAAAAATGTTATTAATATTTAATACCGTAATTTCAACAGAATTCTTTTCCTCCATGAGCTAATTAATTAAATTATTTAAGGTTTTCTCTCTTATCATTAAGATTGATTCCTGATGGTACATAAAAATCCGAAGATTAGTTCAAAAGTTTTTAAGGTGATCATTTTTTTTATTTTGGCACTGTGTTAAGCACTGTATTAGGTTAAATGTGTAAAAATGGAGTAAATAATCTCCTTACAATGCCAATTATCATTAAGTGCTAATTATCATTTTTCATGATATGGCTGGATTTTTTCATATAGGGGAGAGTTGGATAAAACGGGATAGTCGGACAAAACGGGATACGTCGCCTAGGGACCAGACTATTGCAGCTATCTAGTGGACAACGACAGAAACGTGTTATTCGACCGTGATTATATCATTCTCGGTGCGTCCCGCCTCGAGATCACTATTTGATAGAAAGTTGTAGGTCTCAGAACTTTTTTACTCTATTTTTTTGCCATTTTCTACATTTACGTGCGTTGTTTTTTACATTGTACTGCCTACATATATGGGAATAAAATTCCGGTGAGTATTAAATTTAATTAACCATTTATTTACCAATATTTTTATGTGCAGTCTATCTAATTTTCTTTTCACATTTAGGCAGCAGCCATGTTTGTTTCAAAAAGTGTCGGAGTCGGACAAAACGGGACACTTGTGAGTTGGATAAAACGGGATAGAGTTTTTTATGTCCCGTTTTATCCACCTATTTATTTGTTGGATTATTACATTTTAAAATAGCCATATATTAATGTAGGCCTAGGCTTTTTAAACAACTTATTTATATTAGCTATATATATTTTTGAAAAATTTAGTCTCCTTATATAGTAATGCAAAATTTGTTTATTAACGTTCATTATTAAGCATTTTATTTTCGACTCTAGGATTTCACATCTTTCTTTAGAACTAATTGTAATGTATTTCTCTGATGAAGACTTGAGCTTTTTTATATATAAACTTCTTGATTTTCTGGATTGCTCAATTCAATCTACATTCAATTCTAAAAAGAATTCTTCTCTTTGTTTACTGAAGAATTTAAATACTTGATTATTAAAGAGTCTTTCAGGGATCTTACGACATCAATTGAGTGAAATAGAAATAAAAGTGAATTAGAAATGGAAGAAAAGGAAAGGATTATTAAACTACAAAAAAAAAAAAGAACCAAGAGAATTGAAGAAAAGGCTGCTAAGAAATCTCTATTAAAAGCACAAGGCACCTCTCGACAACGGAAATTGCGAAAATAAGCCTTCATGTTTGAAAACTTATAGTCTTTAAAAACAAATGTAGCATATTTTTTGTGTACTTACTCATAAAACAACAATCAATATAAAAGTGTTAGAACAGTAAAATCCCATGAATATAATTTATAGAAATTTTGCTTTGCAATTCTCTGTCAGTTAATTATGCTTTTCACTTAGTTTTATGCAAAAAATTAAACATTGTAAACCCTATCCCGTTTTATCCAACCCAGGTATGCTAAAACGGGATATGTAAGAGTTTGGAAATTAATTTTTTTTCTATTTCACAGTCATTAAAATTAGTTTAAAATATGTTTTTTGTGTGCTTCAATAAATGCTATAGCTACAAAAAAAGTAATGTATGGTTTGCCTTAACAGATATTCCATAGTAAATAAAAACAATAATGGTATCCCGTTTTGTCCAACTCTCCCCTACCACGCAATATCCTCCTTCATGAAATTGGATGATTGGAGGTTTATTGGCATAAACCAGAGACTTTAAAAAATAAAAAATGAAAATTTCCTGCCGTGTAAACTTGTATAACTTGACTGTCAATTCTAATTGCCACATCAGGCGATTACATGACAGGACGATGTTTCAACTTAATGCAAAATATTGCTCAACAATAAAATTTTTATTTTTATTTTTTCATGTGAAATTTCCTTTTTAATTTCTCTGAACTATTCGCTACATATTCATTGACGCTATTTTCTTTTGAACGAATAGAGCCA